TTTTTTTTTTGTTATTTTTTTTTGTTCTCCTGCCCTGGCGGGGGGTCGGGCTAGAAGATCTACTAGGTCCCTTCCGACCCTAAATCTATGAAACTATGAAACTATATTTCAGCAGCTAAATTAAGCACCCTCATTTTCAGAGCTGTTGAACACCTGAACTGAAGGATAAATTCAGCAGGAATTTGGATACTCAGCAACTCTAGAGAATAAAAACCAGGCCATTTATTTAAGTGCCAAACTAGGCATCTAGAGTTTGACACCATAACCCAGAAACGGCCTCAGCAAAATGTCCAGTAATAGTAACCGCATCTGAAACTGTGCTATAACCTACAACCAGGTTCACATTTTCCATCCAATGTTCTGTGGGGAACTTGAATAAAGGTAGATTGATGGGAGTTACAACCTCCATGCAGTTCCCATGTGCCCTTTTATAGCCAAAATTTCTCTGGGTCAAGGGTTATACATTTACTACAGTATACTCCCCAGTGAATACAGGAACAGAAAATCCATCTCGTTCCAACAGGTAGCTTTCTTTAAAACAACGGAAATACAACACTATGATCAATATTTTATGAAAAATCGCATCATTGTGCTACGATGTGCCCAAAGATGAAGGAAAGGAGGCAGTGAGAGGTAAGCAAACCCTAAGAGCAAATGGCTGAGGAACTAAATGAATTTTCTGCAAATGAAAAGAGCAACCCTTTGCAAAACAAATACGTAACATATGTAACAAACTCCAAATAAATGGCTTTTCAGAACTTGGAGGGGAAGCCAGCTTCAGGCTGGCTTTGCTCGCTGTCGCTGCTCTGGTTGACCGAGTTCTAATTTGACCCTTAAGCGACAATCCTAACCAATGAATAGCAATGAGAAATTCACAAAGAAAGCTACTGCAAAATAGCTCTCTTCTAGGCATGGACTGACACTGTGTGGGTGTCAAAAGAAACAAAAAAGCTGGCTGGGGGTTTTTTTGTTACTGCAAACAGAAGCGGTCTGAGAAACAAGACTTCAACCAAGGAGGGAACAAGGGCAAAGGAAACGCTAACAGGAAGACTCTTTGGGAAGGAACTTTGGATATTTCAGCCTTGTATTGCATGTATAAGTCAATAAACCTTGCAGCTCACTGCTTACGGGAAAAAAAAAATTTCAATACAAAATATTCAAGATTTCAAGAATCAGAAGGCTCCAAGGAACTTTCATTAATTCAATCAGAAGCAATCTAATAACCAGGTCTGAGACATAACCACTTTCCCAGTCAGTTTAAATGCATCATCTCCCTAATAAACCTCTCAATTAAAGGCAGTGAAAGCACATTGTATTAACTCATGAAAATCTGCTCTGGCTGGATAAACCAAAGTGGGGTGGCACAGATATGAATGTTTAACAGCAATCTAGTCTGTCTAGGCCTTAGAGCAGAGAGCTGAGGGCCGGCATTCATGTGGGTTTTTTTTCCCAGGTCTGCCACCCACATGCCTATGCCTACTCACTCCATCTACTTATCTGTTTGTCCTAATACTATCATTGTATTTAACTTACTGACACCTTCAGAGAGTAAGAATTTCTATTTGCAATGTACTTTGAGATCCCTGGATGAAACAGGCACTAAAAAAATCTCTCCTTTGATGAATTATAACAACACAGAAATTAAGAACATTACTGTACGTCACTTAAGTCAGGTCTACACCAGAAACACCGCACTTCGGTAGGAATATGTAGACAAAGCACTCCTAGAGTTGATGCAGTTAAGCTGGTAAAACTGCACTTTCTACTGGTATAAAAACAACTGTATAAAAACACTGTAGTGCACACACTGCCTTAATGCAACGCCTGCAGATACCGAATTGTCCTACATATAACATGAATTGCAATTCCATGAATTGCATTGCATTCAAAAGCTTGTCTAAGTCTATCCCAACCACGCAGGTGGTCAAAAAAAGGGATCACCCACAACAACCCTTGCCTCTTGCTTCTTCTTCCCATTTTAAGTGGCATTAGTTGTGGTTACTCTGCTGGTCCCCCTGGGACCTTATTCACCACTTCAACAGACCTCAACATTAGGGTTTTGTACATATTTTAATTGTAAGTTTTGTACATATTTTAATTGTAAGTTTTCTTTCATAAGATATTTCCCAGCACACTGTAGCAGCACACCACAGATGGACAACTTCAACTACACTGGCAGGAATAAAGCAATAGACTATGCAATTTACTCCAGCATGGGAAGGGAAATATGCTATACCAATTTAAGGCACCCATACACCATGTCACATACAGACACTCATTTCTACTCATTTATCTGAAATTCTTTCCAGTAGAAAAACAGCCTGGGAGCTGGAGCGCGTATGCCAGTCCCCTGGCTGGAGAGCTTCACGTTTTGCCATGGAAGAATGTCTCCCCGCCCTCCAAGCAGCTGACTGGTGAGAGCAGGTGAAATTTTTCAGGCAGGGTCCTCACAGGGCTCCCTGACAGCTTGCCCCTGGGGAGGCTATCAGGGAGCCAGTGATCCCTCTCCCTTCTCCTTTGGAGGGAGGAAGGCAGAGCAGAGGATTGTGGGATATCAGACAGCCTCGGGATATTGGGAAGTAAATCTTCCTCATAGGTATCTGATTTAACTTCTTGAAGAAGAGCCAATTCTCTTCTGCAAGAAATCTCTTAAACACCTACAAAACTCTCTTTTGGTGCTAGAAGAAAGGCTTTTCTCTGAATACAAATGTAACATATGTCCATGGCTTATGACTGCATCCGCACCAAAGTTTCTCTGGCATAACAGTTTTAGTTTTAAAAAAGAAACAAACCACGCCAGCTGAAACAGTTAATCTGGTAAAACTTAGACCTAAGTCTACACTGGGCACATCTATACATGCTATTAGTGCTATAAAGGCTTCACATACTCCCTGTTGAGAGCAAATCTGCTCCCAACAGGAGCAGCCCAGTACAGAACTGCTCCTACCCTGCTCTGGCCCCCTGCAGCAGCCAGGGGGAGATCCAGGTTCCCCTGGGGTGCTAGCTTGGGGGCTGGCAGGGGGCATGGGGCTCATCCACATTCACACGGGGCCAGGAGAGCTCTGCCACCTGCAGCGGCAGCTGTCTTCTTGCCCTGTACACATCGGGAGGGGTCTTGATGTGCAGGGGCCCAGGAGACAGCTGTCGCTGCAGAGCCCTCTTGGCCTCCTGCACATGGAGGACAAGCCTCATGCCCAGTGGGACTTCCCCATTCAGCCAGGGGCTGGCGCTGGGAGCTGTCCCACTTCTATGGCAGCTCCCAGCCAGCTCTGGGCTGGGTGGAGATTTCCCCAAGCAGCCCAGGGCTGGCTGAGAGCTGTTTCACTTCTGCTTAGTACATTTTGCAAAACCCGTTAGCATCTACACATGTGCTACTGAGCAGCATCTACTGTGCAGTTAGTTTACTAGCAGGTAGTAGCTAAGTGCACAGTGCTAATTTACTGTGCAGTAAATGGTTTGCAGGTGCGGACAGTGACACTACTGCGCAGTATATTACTGCACGGTAAAGCGTCTCATGTAGACACACCCACTTAGATTAATCTGGGAACCACATCACAACACTACTCTTCTATAACAAGGGCTTAGTGCATTTTGCTAACAAGAATTTCATTGCATTTTATTCCAGCTTTTCTAATCCTGTTGGGAGTTTTAAAATTATTTTTTTGTGACTGATACTTGCAACACCTTCCTGTTTAGCACCAGCTGAGAGTTGCTTTGATTACTTCTTTCTTCCTCCCATTATTAAAGATGTTAAATACAAAGACACCTAACAAATCCTGGCAGTCATCAATTAATACTCTCCCTACAGCTTGGTATTTGCTGTTCTGACTATTTGCAGTCCACATGACAATATTTACCTCTAATCCAATTTAAATCATTTTTAAAGTAGGGTGTTGTGAAACACAGCATGTTCAGCTTACTTTAAATCAATAGTTCTCAACCATCTTAGGCTCAAGGCACCTATAGACAGACTTGAGGTACTCTTCAGAAATGCCAGTTTAGTTTTCACTCTTTTTTTTTGTTTTTTTACTATGGAAAATTACTAGAGCCATTCTTCTGTTGCAAATTACTCTAAAAGATCACAACAGGTCAGAATATATTTCACACTATGGATTCCTATTTGAAATCTCTAGGTTTATCCTGTGAACCATGTTTGCACACCTAACAGTGCTAACACTGCATGGTACCCCGTGGGACACTGGAAAGGTTCTCAATGGAGCCCCAGTTGAGAACCACTGCTTTAAATCTGCATTGCCCAGGTCCACTAAACTTGTAATTAATTGTTCCTAGATTTGATTTTTAAATAAACATGTGATTATTATTTAAAC